GGCATAAGAAATCTATTCGTAACATACAAAGTAATACTTTTATAGCCTGGTTTATAATCAGAAATTTGCCTGGCTGATTGTAGGCAATATTAAGATTGATTAAAAAAAAATAGAACATAATTTGTATTTGGAGGCAAATGATTAGTCAAAAATCTGCCTGATTTTGAGGTCCCAATTTCAGCTTCAGACACATAAAAAGTTATTCTGTCAACACAGTTAAAGGCACCGGTATTACAATGACATGTCAAACTAAATAAAAATGACGACTCACTAATTAAATGAATGAATTACTATGCAATGTAAATTTTTAAAAACATTTTTCTCAACTAAACAGAAAAAAACAGATATTCAACCAAAATCCAAAAAAAAAAAAACATTTGAAAAACAAAACATTAAGATTTAATGTTGAGATGCTGTTCATGTATTTCAGTATTTTAAAAGACAAATGAACACCATGAAAGTATATATGTATTTTTCCTGCCAATATTTGTCTTTGTTTTTATTTCTCCATCATGTACACATTGAATCTTTTCCTCTTTCTTCTCTTTGCTGAAATTCATTCATAAGTGATCACCGGGTGTCCACACTCACCACAAGGTTTTGGGTCCTGGGCGACAGCAGCAGCCAGCAGCAGGCTAAGGCAGGACAGCACACCGAGCACGTTCATGTTGAGAAACTTTATGAGAAGCTTTAGGAACCAGACAAGAAGAACCTGTGAGCGCTCTGGTCTCAGGGGACGACATAGACCATATATGTGTGCTCACAGCTGCCCCCTCTCACACCACGTGGTCCAACCCCCTCTGCATTTTTGCTGACTGCCTCAATGAGGGAAAATATGACCAAATAGTTAATGGCCTCCTCTGTAAAAGTTGGTGTGACATATGACCATTGATAAGATTGTGCAATGCATCACATGCTTGTTTTTATGTCCCATAACTCATCAGATATTATGTTTGCCCTCCCCATTTTTAGATGTTGTACCTTGTGATTATTTTCCACATTAAAGAAGGATTACTTTAAATATGACATTGAATGGGAATAAATGTACAAAAGCCTTTGGGTATCTTTGTATAAAATATCATTCTGATCTCTTTGTTAATGTATTTCTTAAATATTAACTAAATGAAAAATGGCACTGTAGTATATATACAACATCCTGCTACTCTTCCTCAAGGTCACACCAGATTCAGGCTTCTTCAAAAGCACGTTTAGCTCGGAGTTGATGGAATTGTTTTCCTCCAGTCAACAGTACAGCTCCAGTGCTTTGACTGCAGGTGTAAATATTCCCATGTTGTACACACCTGCTTTTTTCTCAGGCATGGCTGCATGAAATACGTGTGAATGCTACAATGCATGCCTCCTTACTGTTATACCTCATCTGGTTCTAAAATATACCTTTAAGTCTGATTTTCTTTGTACTTGAGAACTTTATCATGTCTTTTCACAGCTAACTGCAAAAAAATTTAAAACTAATTTAGTATTCTGTCTGTAAAAAAGGATTTGTTGAACTGTAGATATATATATAGATACACACACACACACACACACACACACACACACACACACACACACACACACACACACACACACACACACACACATACACACACACCATTCAACAAATCCATTTGATTGTACATTTCTTTTACACAAAATCTCCTCCAATTCAGAGGCTATGCTTTCTGATTAAAATCAACAATGTGTTTCATAAATAACCCTGATCATGTGAAAGTTGTAAAATAAGAATGGAGGTAGTCAGGTGCACCATCCTTATCTGCAGGTTCAGAAAGTCACTCAGATACAATTAACATCCACCTCAGTCAAGGTCACTGACAAGAATAATGTTACAAGTTATAATATAAATTCCATTAATTGCATGATCAATATTAAATACTAATACAAACAATACCTTTATATAGTTCTGGTCAAAATGTCGACTGTTATTTGTTGCAATCTGTCATGTTCACTTTAACAAGAAGTGTAGTGATGCTAATTGAGATCATCTATCACAGCTTGCACACATTTACTGAATTTGAAAAGCTAAATTGTTTCATTATTATGTGTCTTGTGATTTTTTTAGTTTAGGATTTTTAGGAAATGGAGCTGATGTCTGGTGACTTGAGGGGGTAAGCCATGCAGTTCTTTTGGATAAACCTTGACACATTAATGTCCTGCTGAAAATGAATATTCCTCTACATACATTTAAGCCTGGACCAATGACGTTATGGAAAACTGAGAGGAATTACCAACTACAGATGACATGTTTCTGTTTTTATGTACACTTCTCTGTAGACATGCTTCCTTCTCAAGATATCCTTACAGTATTGGTCTTCAGATGATTTTTACTCTTTAGGTTATTCTGTTGTGTGTCTCTGAACTTCTTCCAAATAAATGGAGCGAAGCCTGCAAGCTAGTTCAGGCAGTCAACTCGATCTGCGCTGATATACACACATGACATGCCTTATTCCATAATCACTAACCAAATGCACCCTTCCAATCTGGCGGTCTATTTAAACTGCACAATTTCCCAGCTGTCCCTCTGCTCTGTCAATGCTGCTGTTGCCCTGCATCCGTTTACCTGCCTGCTGCGCTGTAAGCCCCACCACCAACCCAGCATCCACCTGTAGGCTCCGACTGGGGTTTAAGGTATTTGCATCACTCCCCAATATCTCTATATAATCATATCTCTGGGGAGTGATGAGGTCGGAGCCAAAATCTAAATATGCTATACTGCTGTAATAAACATTTTTAAATTCTATTAAGGTAGAATGTTTAAAACTCAAAATTATATATTTTAAATCTATAACAGCATGTCAAAATGTAGAAGTAGGAGTGATTCTAATCCAGAGTCCTTTGATACTTTTATCTTGATTTACAGTATGATGACAGGAAGATGGCCTGTCAGAGCATGGTTAAACTCCATATTAGGTCAAAGGAAAATCCACGGCATACAGATAAGCCTGCATCACATGAACGTTCAGAGGTTAGGCCTTTTCCAATGGAAATAACTGCAACTAAACACTGATAATGATCATAAAAACAGTTAGCTCAGAGTCAGGTGCTTCATCTTTATCTGACAGTTCATCAACGACATACGGACATAATCTAAGTCACACATTAGAAGCTTTGAACAGGTTTGAAGTGAGTTACTTATTAATCCAATGAAATATGTTTTTATTATCTGTGTGACTCTATGGCAATGTTAGTCTGTTGGTTGGTTGGTCCACCATTTTGATAGAGACAGAGATATCTCAACAACTATTGGATGGATTTCCATGAAGTTTTGTACAGACATTTCTTCCTCTAGTGCAACCTTGATTGGCTGATATTTGTGGATTTTAGTTAAATGTCTGAACAACTGTTGGGTGGTGTGCTATGAAACTAGCACCATTACCAGGTCAAAAATGAAATTGGTCCAATACTTTACAACAAAATACCTGCAAAGATGATGGCATTCCCATCAGCCTCAGTTGTACTTTGTATTTAGTGCTAGTCAGTAAATGTTATCAAACATGACAAACAAAGCTGGTTTACAGGTAGGACAGGTGAAATATTTTTTTAAGGGGGTCTAGGGGATTTAATTAAGTAGAGATGGACGGATGATCCTGAAGCTTGTTTAACTACTGTTTATACATAGTATACTGCGAGTACTATGTGACTGATGGCGTCAGAAGAACAAGTTTTGAAGGTTTTGCAGCTTAATTTTGTGGGATAACCACTGGGATAAAAAGAGAATAACTGAGAAGTATGGTAATGTACGCTAAAAAGACATAATCATAAGTATGGGAACACTTCCAACTGATACCAAGTAATAATGTAATGAAAGTAATAGGCTAATTTAATGAATGTCCTTCCTCAATCACACCACAACTTGTTAAACATGGAAGTTATGCCACACTGTGTCTAATCTACACCAATAACTTTACATACTTACACACTTTTTATGGAAAGAAAGCCCCAAAGCTTCATTAGGCTTTATCCTTCCATCACTACCACTCTGGCTGTACGAGCTACTGACAGGCCACACATCACAAGATGGTTGCAGGCCTTACCTGAAACCTAGGTTAGCTGAACGCTCTCCTCCATGGTGGGTGTAACTGTTCTCTTCTCCAACTCAGCTGGTTTCAGTTCATTTGGGTTAACAAATAGAAGCTGGCAGAAACCAAACTAAAAGTACTTGAGGGATTCGTTGTCCATCAAGGTCTCAGCAGCCACTCTGCTTTTTTCTTCCTCTCCTCTCACTTCTCTGGCAGGTTCACACCAGAGACATTATAGATCTGTCTATATATATATATATATCTTGATATTGGCAACCAATCAAAATGACAAATGAAAACCTGTGACCATGACAATTTGGTAGGTATTGTACCTCTTGCATGTTAACCTCCTCATTGTTAGCATTTCATCCTCCTTACATTAGCATTTACCTACTGTGCTACAGCCTAAATAAAGTAAACTAAATGAGTCTACATGGCTGTAGACTCGTTTTTTGCTTTACTATGAGTACAGAAAGTATAATCAGTCAAAATGTCATCATGTACAGAATTAGTAGAGTGGGTTTATTATTCTTGCATAAGGAGTGGTTTGTTTAAAAATTCCTAAAGCCTCCTAAATTGACATATTGGCTTTGTTTTTAGCATTGCTTGGACAACAAACAACAGAAAACACAGTTCGATCAAAAAGTTCATTATAATTCAAACCAACTTATTATAATTAACATAAACATGTGAGACAGACAGACAGAATTAGGACTTGGTCTAACAGTAAGAACTTCAGAGCAGGCCTAATTTCAACATGCAGTTTCTTCACGCCTAAAATATTTTAGCGAGAACCAACCGGCGGTGTTAACAGCGTCCTCTTTGAAACTTGTTCAATATGATCTAATTGTCAAACACGTTTAGTTCAGACCGTATGTTCAGCCAGGTTTTGATGCATTTGAAACTTAACAAGGAGTAAAGTGTAAAGGTGGTTAGACAGAAGAAAACTCAAATGCCACATGACATGATGCATATTATATTTATTTTCCAATATGCATATTAAATCATCATCTCTCTTTCTATTCTTGAGGGTCCCTTGGCATCTTCTGAGCAAGGAAAACTTCAAATATTTCAGTGCAAAACAGCTAAAGCAAAGTTAATTAAAATAAGACATCCCTCACCCCCAAATAATAATAAAAAAAAGAAAATTCATAATTAGAAAGCCAGTAGTTACGTATAAATAAAACAGAATGGATTTTAAGAGAAGAAAACTTTTTGTTTAGGTCTAGATTCCCTTGTTTTGCAGCAAAGCATCAACTTACAAATGTTCACCTCATATACATATATGAATATCAACAGTGTTTATTATAATATAATCTTGTTACAATTTCTACAAGAGGTCCATATTAATTAAGTGTTAATAATTACACGAGGTGTGTTTATGCCCATTTGAAGGTAAGGATTACTCAGGGTTTCTGCGTATTATCCACGTCAAAATTACTTATTTTTTGACAATCATTTGTTGGCTAGTCTTTAAGGATTTTCATTACTGTACAGTCAGCACTGTCATCTGCACTTCTTGTTCACCATACGCAAGAACCTTGAGCACTGTATGTGCACGTTGCAAGCAGAGGCGGTCTCACACTGGTTTTTTTGTGTAGTGTCAGTCAGATGATCACTTTCTTCTCCACAGTCACTGTTCATTGTGAGTGGATCAAACACTTGTTGAAAAAGGCATCGTCTTTATCTCTAACAAAACAGCTGAAACACAACATTTCAAAACACGCAGACACAATGTCATCCACTCACTGAAATAATCTCATTCATTCCTAATTTTCATCTCGATTTCCCCATCCTCTGTTCAGTTCAGTGAATTTTAGATAAAAATGAAATTAAAATAACACTTTCCTCACTGGTCCATCTCCTTTCTTGTCTACACACTTTTATGAATCCACATTTCAAAACTTTCTACAGTATTCACTTATGTGTCTTTCTGTTTAATAATCCATCCTCGTCCTGCTGCTGAGCACCGGTCCAGTTCTGTTCATTCAAGTCTACTTTGGTGTCTATATGAACATCTATTCCTCCTACAGCTTCCCCTTTACCTGACTCCCAACTTGACATCTATGCTTAACGTACATAACTCTTACTAGCTACAGCTCTAGAGTATGTATTTCTAACTTTTCTTTTCAGTGTCCTGGTACTACTTCAACAAATCACAGCTTTGCATATCTATCATCCTAACACACAGACGCAACATATACACACTCATCTGAACAAGCATACACAAGAAATGAATGGACCATAAGTACGTCAAAACATCAATAATGGAGTGCAAAGAAGGTATCCCGACATTGGAAACATACAAAGACGCGAAATGTAGGCGGGGTCCTTCTGGCCATTTGAAACTGAGGACAGGAGAGTGAAATGGAAGTTTAAAATGTCCCTGTTTTGTTGTGTTGGTTACTGGGGGAGTCCCGCTTTTGGGAGGTTTGGGAGTTGGCAGGCAGGGGTTCTAGCAATGGGTCAGTCTGGTGCGAAAGTTGGGTGGGGGAGACCTGCTTATTTGGGACTGCACATAGTAGTCGTTTTTGAAATGTGAACCAATGAAGCCAGAGTGAGAGTGAGGAGGAAGCCACTTTATGCGAAGAAGGTCCAACTTTTTTAGAGGATGAACGGTGCTTTCATCCAGGAGAACAACAGTTTTTCAAAAGTTGCAGGAGCTGAGTGCAGCATCCAGGTCTTTATCCCCGACAGTCTATGGACCCGGAATTTGGCCCTTGTTCTTGTTTAAACTCCTTCTACTCCTCCGTGGCCCTCTGTCAGCAGTCAGAGACTTCTGAGGTGTCACTGGTGAATTTTCTGCGTTGTCTCACTGATTTCTCCTCATCCTACAGAGCAGAAGAGAGAGTTGTTTTCACCTATTCAATAAAACTGAGATCAAAAGGTTGCTTAAAGGAAATCTCTTTTCCTCTATTGTCACCTACAAGTGCCAAAATGTCATCTCTGCACACAAGATATTAAACAGATATCATTTATACTTTGATAAAAAACCTTTTGATAATCATGCCCCCTGTTCCTCCAGTACTACCATCAGGACCAATTCTACATTTGTAGCCATGCTACTGGTTAAGCTCTAAGAATAAAAAGACAGAAAAAATATCTGCTCTCACGCTTCTAACTTCTTTTATTCTCCGTAGACACGATAATTTGACAACAAATGTGTTGTCCAAGTGGAACAAAGGAAGAACTGGGAATGAGATACCTGTGTGTATGTATCTTTTTGTGCAGGAATTTCATTTACAGATCCAATATTGTCTTTTTCCCAAATATAAACCTCACTGGATGGAACTCTTTTATAAAATATTTTTTAATGTAAGTGAACAAGAAGCCAGGGATTACTGTGTCACCAAAAACAAATCTGTGGCCTGCAGCGACCTAATGAATGTAACTGATAGGAGAACCAATGATATTGAAGAAGAAACTGTATTTAATATGAATTGGTCACATTATGTTTTCTGTGTTGGATTGCGCTTACTGTCTGAAAGACTCCATTCTGGCCCCACTCTCCAGGGGAATGGTCTTCAGGGTCCTCTGCCTCCTCCTCCTCTTCCTCCCCCTCCTCCTCTCTCACTGTGTCCATCCCGTCTTCCTCATACTCTGTCAGACAGTCTGACTCCTCTGCTGAATGGAAAGATTTAGAGGTGATATTACAGAGAGAATTTATTGTGTGACTGACCCACCAGGTTTAGATAGCTCCCATAAAATATCAGGGACATCTCCAACTGTATTCCAATAAAACAGAACAGGTGAAAGCTATGGCCCCTTATTTATTACACTTATTAAATCTGAAATGATTTTGAAGGGGAACTGTACCTCTAAAAGAGGAGACTGCCACACCAGGGACTTTTAAAATAATGCGTGCAAGTTGTGTAAAAAATATGTTAACCACAATTATTTCAAGATAATAATAAATGTGTTCACCTTCTGCAGCTACATAGCTTTGAACTGGCTCTATCCTGGATACAATCTCTGCAAGGTCAGTGAAGTCAGCTCCTGGACACGTGCAAGACTACGAGACAAGAAATTTTTGTTATATGCTGACGTAATAACTTTGATGGTGAACATGTGTATGGAGGTACATGTCAACCATATTACGTATAATTATGGCACGTGTGTGCTCTTCTTACATCAGTTCTCTTGCTGTTGTTGTAGTCGGCTGAGCGGTGGTCCTTCAGCATGTTCTCAATGATGTCCCCACGGGCCCAGCCAGTAAACACCAACTTGCCGTGCTGGAAGCCCACATCCTGAGGTAGTTGAATGGAAACAGAAACTTTAAAGTAAGTAGACACACTTTGAGGAAATTCATGATTATGATTTATTTTCAAAGTTATTTCGTAACATAACATTCATTTTAAAATGTGCAGCTAGTGGGATTTTAACATTTGTAGTATAACTTATCTGTACAGTCTTTTCTGCCAATTGTATTTGAACAGATCAGTCTGTGTAACAGATCTGCATCAATTACGTGAATTATTTAACCCTCCATCTGGATGATCATGATGTTAACAGTAGTATGCATTGACGTTACAAAGTAATCCATCAGGAATGTGCGCTTGCATGTTTGCAATTCTGTCTTTTATTTGCCGTCAAGGCAGTGACCTTCAAAAACAAATAGTAGCAACATCGTCTTTGCCGAATGAAGCAATGCAGTTGACACACTCAATACAACTAGCATGAAACAGGCAATAATGACTCTGCTCTCTCTGTGCTCTGTAATTCAAATCAGAAAAAGTATCACAATAATTCAAATTCTGATCCTCAAATACATAATACCAGGTAATATTCATGAAGTAACTCACATAGATCTCGTCAAACTTGCCGAAGTCCATGGTCTTGAAGCGGTCGATGGGTGGTCTGATGTACTCGCAGTAGGCACTCTTCTTCACCACCTCCAACTGCCGCACACAAGACACATAGGCCAGCCGAGACTGGATTTCTGCCATGTCTGGCACCTGTACAAGAGGCTGGTGTGAGAATGCTACCAGAAATCACCGATATATATATTCTATATTTTAAAATGCTGAGTCACAAACAGTTACCAGTTCCTTGTGCCACTAGCCCCTACTGTACCTTTACTTTCTCTGCCCAGGGATTGATCCGTTTCCACAGCAACCACCAGCCAGACAGGCTGTCGCCATAGTTACAGAGGTCAGTCTCATCTTGGCTACCCACGTCGATGGCAATGACTGTTCTGGCACCCATATTCCTTGCAATGTCCGCTGTTGGACGTGTAACGTGTACACCAGCATTCACACACAAGGGCACAGACGTACAAACACCGCACGACAAAATCCAGAAGCAGAGACGGTAAGACAATGAATCCTGTGTTATTAAGCTTGTTTCAGGATGATATCGGTTTCTTAAAACCTTCACTTTAGGAACCACAATGTTCAAACAGACTTACACCACAAAATCAGTTTTGTGACAGAAAACACTGCAATTTTAGAAAAATAAAAATAAAAATGTATACTCTCCTGGCCAATGAGCACAGGGCCTGAGCTCATGAGGTCATGATCTTTCTCATTGACACACTAGTGTTAAAAAGAGCATTGGGGAAGTGAACATTTTTGTGGTATGAGCCTATTCAAACACAGAAACAGGACAACATCCCACAGGCCCAAAACACTGACCCAGTGCGCCAAGAACAACTATAAATGCTGCTGACGGAGCACAAACTCTTCAGAGAGAAGACAGACTAACAAAAGTCAGAAATAAAGGATTATGATTTTACTAGGTTCCCTTTGGGTTGGATCAATGTTTGGGCCCATAAAACACCATATTTCACAATCAACTCAAGAATGAGTATCACTTGGGAGATAATGGGACACAATTCCCATACAAAGTAGAGAATTACAAAAGCTCAGTCTAGATCTTTGTGAAATATAGTTGTTTCAACAGTACAGAGCACATTCTTAATCAAAACTTTACAGACACAGACTGGAGGGTTTTCATCTGCGCACCATCATGAAAGCTAAAAACAGCTTATGTCTTACTTGAATCTTGCCTCAGTAAGAGGTCTGGTAATGGGGATGTATTCAATGGTTCGCAGACAAAAACCAGTTCCTTGCTTTTCTACACAGACTCCACTCATTTTTCCTCTGGTTGAAAAAGGAAGCAATTACTGAACAAAAACTGTAGGGCTGGGCGATATGGTTACAATCATTATCACAATATGAAGAAAGATATTTTCTGTTATCAATTACGTGTTACATGAGGCTGAACTCCTCGTAAGTGTAAAACTTCAATGACTACTTTTGTTTTGTTAACAACACAATGATAACATGATATGATCATTTCACCACGGTATGATTTGTGCCGAAAGTCAATCACAATAATATTGAAATATTGCCCAGCCCTACAGAAAAGTGCTCACTGAGACATGAAGGGAACCAGAATCCTATGTCAAAGCAGACCGGTGTCTTATGACATAAAAAAAAAATCAAATTGCAAATCATGCAACGGTTTTAATGTCAATTTTACTTTTTTTTTTTTCAAATTTCATAGTGATAATCTGGTGATAATCCCACCTCCTTTCTAATTCTACACCTTTGTGACACCAGGCTGTTTGACAGAGAAATACCACATTCCCCCTACTCAATGCGGTATTTGTTTGTCATTATATACACTTGAATTCGTCCTTAATACAAGTGCTGACTTTTTCCCCATCTGTTAATACAGAATAATTCAAGGTCTGATAGAGAGAGTTTGGTTTTTACCTTTTGCTAATGTGGCTGATTCAGACTCAATTTGTCCTTTTTGATTGTCTGAACCAGCTCAGATTTATTCAGAAGGGAAAAACTCAGCACGCTACCACCACCTGACTTCCCCCCATCAGAATTAAGACATGCCCACGTTGATTTACTTACCCAGCCTTTATACAACTTGATTAAAACCCCTTATAATAATCATCTCTGTCCCTCACTCCACCACCCCCTTCCTCTTGGGGACAGGAATTTGAGGATGGTGTATTGGCAGGGTTGGGGGAATGGTGAGGAGTACCACCTCTACTTGCCTGGCAGGTTGTTGATGTAGCCACCATCCATTAGCAAGTTGCCATCTTTGGGGTCGCAGAGAGGCGGCAGATAACCCGAGAGGGTCATGCTCGCTCGTACATAGCGCCACAGAGAGCCTGACACACCAGGGAGGGAAGGAGGGAGGAGGAAGGGGGGGGATAACAGCTCAATAATGTTTGCTATACGTTTCAGGTTAGTGTCGATGCAGACCGCAGTCCAAAAACCAGAGAGAGGTTGGACAAAGAAGGGTAGCCAATCCCTACAAAGGATAGGACTGTGGTTCTGCCCACCTTAGACTCTGTTGTACACCACTGAAAACCTCATTACCTTGCACAGAGACCCTGTATGACTTGTGCTTGAGGTAAAAAAGTAAATGGCAACCATCACAGAGCGCCAAGGCTGTTTGAACCTCCAAACTGTGTCCCAACAACATCGCTTTATGGCATGTGATCATATGAATTTGCTACTTTCTGAAGTTCCTCCAAAAACCACAGATACTGTACATTTAAGTGGAAACCAATCATGATAGCCTGAGTAGAAGAAGTTGAAAATATTGTAATGGACCTGCTTTAATTGTCTACATGTCAAAGAGGGAGCAGCGGCAGATGTTGTGACAATATTTGGAGATCCTTCACCGTGAACATGGCAGGGAAGCACCCAGCCTGCCCAGTCTTGCAGTCCAGCTTAGTGCCAGCAGGGGGCAGGAGCAGGCCGGGTGCTGCATGGGTTGGAAGGATAAGGAGCACCGCAGACAAAAGCGAGGGGTGCAACTGTGCGTGGGGTATGTGTCGATGCTGAGGCAGAATTATCTTAAAATCTGACTTCAGTGGAGTTACCATCACCTTTTTCCACTTGTTTACTCTAAATTTATTGTAACTTAATGGCTTTATTCAGTTTGTACAGGACCTACAATGGACAACAGCAGGATCCAGAACACATATTCTTGAATAATTCAAAAGAAATAGAAAAATAAAAAAGGTAATACATGCCATCAATATATATCCATGAGAAATATATAGATTGGCTCAACACTGGCATGCACATAGAAGCAAGCAAAGCCAGGGGAGAGAGGACAGGTGCTGTGTAGGAGAGACTGAACATGTTCCTGTAGGTAGATGTGATTGAAATGAAACAGAAGCAATTTCAATAGGACCTCGGAGTGGGAAACAAGCTGCAGTTCAGTCCAAAGGACAGACACATTTAAGCTCACCGAAACGCACAATGATCCACAACAACAACAACAGACAGATGTGATGTTGATATGGTGCAGCCCTTCACTATCTCCAGTAAGGCGGCTTTCCTTTGATCAAAACACAAAGTACTGTCTGGTCCCTGTACCGGATCTCACACTGACAATCCAGCTAAATCCAAACCAGTCAAGTTTGATTTACATTGGCCAAGCTGAGTATACCTGCAAGTGAGTAACTGCGTTTTACTAAAAAAATATATGAAAATAAGCAAGGACAGTGGTGCATGAAGAGTTTTTACAAGCCACATCCACAACTTTATAGATATAAAGAAGGGAACATTTTAGCAAATATAGGTGGCCAGAAGAAGCCAGACCATCATGCATCTCTCTATGAGATGCCCGGACATGCGTGAGCAAAACCTTACATCTAATAAAAAAGTTAAAGTCAGGGTGTATATCCAAGCCAACTGGACAAAGTGTGTCGTATGTGTGAAACAAGCCAATTGGACATAATGTTATAATGGCCGTTATTCAGTGAAAGATGAGGCACTGATTTGATCAATCCTAAGATATATATTGGATTTAGTCTTTCCTTCCAAACCATGGGCCCCCAATGTCCACCTGGTCCCGGTGGGGTTAGTTACGAGTGGGAGGGAGAGGAAAAGAAAGAGGAGGAGGGTAGCCGATTGGTTGACTGTTGTCTTAGGGATGGGGGAGGAGGTGAGCGGGTGTTTAAAATCTGACCTGGCACATTGTTAACATAGCAACCATCCACAAGCAAGTGGCCATCCTTGGGGTCGCACAAGGGAGGTAAATAGGGGGTGTAGGAGGCGCTGGCTCTAACATAGCGCCAGACGCAACCTGTCGGGGAAATGGAGATGGAGAAGGAGGAACACATCAAATATGGACCGGACTCCACGTTACAGATGGAAAAAGAGAAAGATGGAGAGAGTACAGAGGAGAGAGAGAGAGAGAGAGAGAGAGAGAGAGAGAGAGAAATGCTCGCAACATAGAGAAGAAGAGTGCAGGAAGCTGCCAGGAGCGAGACAGAGAGGAAGGGGAATACAATTTCAACAAAATTATTTACTCGTCGCTTACGGTTTCTAACCAAATACAGTTAATTCTAGTATGAGGCCAATTTTGATAAAAATTATACTCCAGGACAGCCAATTAATTTAAATATTTGAAGGCTAATTGAGGAAGTATAATAAACTTTGTTCAGAATTATGACAGGAAACCAAAATATAAACACAATAAAGATTTGTGACTGTACCCCAAACAACACAATTGAGGTGTATCTTTAAATCCAGTATGTGATATAAATGACAACAAATACGCCGGATGAATAACACCAGATGTATGTAAATTAGCTTACAACTTAAAAACAGTTTTTTTGTTTGTTTGATGTGTTCATTAAACATATTTTAAAAATTGTATTAGCGTTGTTAGATGACTGGTCTGACAAGCAAGGTGGAAGAAAGACAAGCAGAGAGTGAAATAATAGAATATTACTGAGAGAGGCAGAAAGATGACGAAGAAGGACAGAGGGACAGAAAGAGAGGTATAGAGCCCACCATTTACTTTATAAACGTTACTGGGCGTACAACTTAATTCTGCAATTTGAGTTTAGTTTTCTCATATATCAGATATCAGTCTTTGTAGTTTTTTCTCACTGGATAAAACCAAAGGATGTCATGCAAACACATGATACTCTGTACCTTACATCCATCAAAATGTCGTACAATTACTCCAAGTGACATATTCAAAATGACTCCACGCTAGCGATGTTTGACAAAAGCACACCGGTGAAAACTACAGAAAAGCACAGAATTGGGGTAAAGGAGTGAGAAAAGCAACATGAGATGTCATTAAGGAGCAAGGAGGGAAAGGCAAGGTTGAGTGTTCTGGATCCTACATGTTGACATGGACATGGGAGGGGAATCAGCGTTTTGTAGTCTGCAACTACACAGGTTATTTTATCTAAGGCGTAACCTACAGAGTGGCAGCTCTGTGATGTCTATGTGCAGAAAGACCTGACGTAAGGGATGACTGCATTTATATAAAAGGCATAAAGTGGGAGTTTTAGACACAAATGTGATGGACAAGAAATGATAAAAAAGCTGCAGCTTTTTCAATTTAGCATATGAAAATGAAGAAGTTAAGAAGGATGAAGAGGAGTGTCAGAGACAGATCAGAAAATAAAGACAAACAGAAATCAGAAAAGAAGGAAATAAAGAGATGAAAAGGGAGGAAACTTGTGCAGTAAAATTAAGAGAGGGAGATGATGGGAACAAGATGAGACAGAGAGAGAGGAAAAGGCTTTGCTCCAGCAGTTAGTTCATACACATGCAAAGAGGCAAACATAAGCATTCAGCGTTTCACTGCAGGACTCAGGCCTGCAAACCCCTCAAATCCAGTAATCGGTGTGAAATAATGTGTGTAATTACAAACAAAACATTATATTTACAGTAAAACTAGCAATGCCCTTAATTTGATGCACAATACTGTCAATTACAAGCTAGCATTACAGGGATTCTGCTTAAAAGTTACACGGCACAGAAAATATCTCACTGGATTTGAGTGTGTTTTTGGTTGGGCGGTCCTTTCAGGCTAAATCTACTTTAGCTAATGTTAGTGATGGTGCATTTTTTATGCAAGTCAAACAGAACACATTTGCCTTTATATCAGCAAATACAGACACAAGCATATACACATCTGCAGTGTTTTATTTTGTAATTTTTTAGTGAAAAGACCTCCTAAGCCCTTGGCTGTAGGCTTACTCCAAACCAAATTGAAACTAGCATGTTTGTAAAGGCAAAATAGAGGCTTTGTGACTTAAATGCATGCAATGCATTTGGTTTTGATGGCTGTAATGTAGACAGGCTGGCCTGTTTGGTCATTTCATCCCTCCCTCACATACTCTTTGCAATTCATCCATAATGGGATGTAAATTGCTTCAGTTTTTACATAATGTTCTCTGAGCCTCGTGTTTTAGGATTATATCCATTCAAGTTTTAACACGTTTACTTAAAATAGTTAATCGCAAGTCTCGCAAGATCCTCCAGCTGACGTGGACATTTGTTTAAACGGACACACCTAGAGTTGTTGGAACTATACTGGCACTTGCTCAAAGCGATGTTTACAAAAGCAGTTTCAGAACACAGTAGCTTCAATTTAGTTTGGAGTATACCGGTCTTAAACCATAATTCTGAGGGCATGCAGTTCCAGTCACTCTAGATGATGGATCAACCAGTAAAGTCTTTGTGTATCGTCCCAAGTTATGCCTAAGAGTACAATATTTATAGACTTTTTGTATAAAGAATAAAAAATGCTACAGTGCATAAAGTCACTTCTGAAATTGAGTGCGTGCAATGTGTCAATACATTCACTTGGATAATATACTGCTGCAGGCATTGCTCACTGTTTAATTACTTTCGAAAAACGAATTGATAACAATGTCAATTTCACACATTAGTTCTCTGTCATTCGGAGCAGTATTATTGATTGAGTCGTGTTAAATGTTGTGAGCAATTAATCATGCCCTTTACTTGGGAGGTTTCTGTAAGTGCATTTGCATTTATGTGTGCTCATCTACTGCTGTCAAATAATGTACTAAAATGTACTATAATGTAAAAAGGTACTGTCTTGAGCTTGTCCAAAGCTTTAAAAACATTTAGCCAACCACAACAGTAATATGATAGAGAGGCCCCTGCAGTCAGCTCAGCTGTCACTTACCATCCTGGTGAACACGCATGGCTGAGGCTGTGATGTCAGTGGTGACGTTGAAGTATGGCAGCCACAGGTCCTGGGGACACACAAAGTATTTTAGTGCCATAAACCTTATTATTTTCCCAGTGACTGATTCAAAAACATGACCCTGTTCTTATGTTCTGGCAGGCCATACTGCAGTGAGGCAGTGATTTCATACCACAATCCCTCACCTCAGCTTGTTTGTCCTGGAACACTTTATAGATGCTGGTGTTGAAGGCAGAACCCGAGAACATCGAGGTGATGGGATAGGTGAGATCCAGGACTGTTTTAAATACGGAGTTCATTGCCTGTTGAACAATAAAATACAGAGAAACCTGACGTTAAGTCTATTGGTTTTTGTTTCTTATTAGTTACTAGACATTCCCCTTTTAATACATTGAAAGAAGTTAACAGAAAGGCTGCTGGATAAATGAAACTGGTTTTATTTTAAGTTAAAAAAATGACAAGACAAAAAGGACTGAATAATGGACATAGATGTGTGCTGCACCTTGGACCACTCTCTGGCTCTCTGTTTGGTTCTGACGGCACTCCTCTCTTCAGCATACAGTGCACCAATGAATGAGCCGATTGAGGTCCCTCCCACTATGTCAATAGGAATCCCCGCTTCCTCCATAGCTTTGATCACACCCACATGAGAGCAGCCTCTGCAGGAAGGACAATAAACACTCAGGTACACTAGATGACTTAATGTGTCACAGGAGTGGTGAAAAAATGACTTGAGATGCGTTGGTATACATTTTTTTTAGTTCAAATCACTGAAGTTTCAAAATAGAGGAAATGATAAAACTTTGGTGTATTTCTGATGTTACGTAATATTACCATTAATGGATAGACTCCATTGTCAATATTACAAAACACTAAGACTTGTAGGACACAAACTGCTCTCTACATGTCTGTACTGATAGTTGTGGCTCAGCCCTACTCACCTGGCTCCACCTCCTCCCAGGACCAGGGCGATGCTGTTCCCTGTCAGGACTCGGGCCAGCCGAGAAAAATCACTGTGCCTGTCTGCCGTTTTCTCAAACACCTTCTCGTATACCTCCCTCTGCAAACATAGAAGATACACATGAAAATACAGTAAAGGCATCAACTTTCAAATTAACATTTAGCAACACAAGACCAGTGTTCTTGCAGATGTTGAATTGATCTATCAGAACATTGCTTCATGACTTCATTCTTAGTTATGTAGGAGTGCCTGATCACTTTCACTGTCCACTTGACAAAGTCACCTGATTCTAGCTAGCATAGCATACCATAGTACTGTATGTATGTAGTATACTAAAGAATAACAATTTATTTAAAAAACTGTTAAATATGACAGTAAAGTTTGCGTCGTACTAGTTTGCTCTGGCTGCGTCTGGAGAAGACCCTGCGGGGACACTTGAGGTGCAGATGCCCGGAGCACCAGCTACGCATATTGAGCCACTCGACCGTCCTGGAGGGGCCTGGCCCATCCTCTTTGTGCAGAAGGACCAGCTGCTTCAGAGCCCGAACTGCTGTGTTCTCTAGCATCTGCTCCAACTGGAGGGGAAGAGGAGAAGAGGGAAACAATAGAGAGTAAATGCTCTTATTTGCATTTTAAGCTTTTTTGTCTCCCCTTTCCCTCCTAGACAAACACACACACACATACCTCTCCCAGGGTGGGCTCCTGGTCCCCCAGGCCAACGATGAGGATGCAGTCAGCCTGGCGGATGCAGCGCTGAGTCCAAGGGGTCATGCTGTTGTCAGTCTGGTATAGGACAATCCGATTGATGTCCTCCTGCTGGGCCAGCCAGCCAGAGAGGCGGTACTCATGGATACTGATGGATACAGGAGAAAAGCAGGAATGAGGATATGCAACAGTTTTAATTAATAGAAACAGACACCGACAGGGATGGAGAGAAATGTAAAGTTCAAGTTTGTTTATTGTCATTTCCACATACAGAGTATGTGGGAAAGAGGCTACGATGACAGGAAGAATAAACTGGTAAATAAAGTGAAGGAAATTATAGCAAGCAATACAGACAAACTTAAATGGGAAAAAGGAGATAATAAAAAAATATTACAACTTTTGTGATGATGCTTGATAAGACTTTTTGTGATTGTCACACTGACCTGTCCAAAGCAGAAGCACCCAGTCGCTCTCTGATCATGTCACTGGTTAATAGCAAAGTGGGTCCTGCAAGTGTCAAACAGAGGCATTTGGCTTAGTACCATGTAATGCAGTAATGTATACCAGGAAGTAGGAGCAATCCCAGATTGAAAAAAAAGGACTGTTGTGGACCAATGTAGGATTTGTTGGCCTACCGATGGCACTGAGGGCATGGCAGAGCTCCAGGTTGAACGCGTTGATTGGCACCTCATCACACACAGGCAGGACAGCGACAGTGGAGAGGTTGCTGGCGGGGTTGGTGACATCAGCACTGGTTGTCATACTGGGCAGACTCAGGGCTGAACCTGGAAGACAGGATCACAGTTTTAAATTGAGTATATTATATGTTAAATGCATCAAGCTGGACTAACAAAGACATGAAAATGCTCCTTAACATCACCTTACCTGAGAAAGGCCCACGACCATGCTGCAGGTTCCCCAGAATCTTCTGGCCTAACAAGTGGATCAACCTTGTTACCACCTAAACAGAGATCAAGCATGAGTGCCATTTCATCTGTACAAACAAGCACAATCAGATCAAGATGAAGTCACTGACCTGGGGATACCGTCTTTTGATGTTGTTGAGCGTTCCCTCAGGCAGTTTGACCAGCTCTGTGTCTCTCACAGCGTGGACAGTGGTGGCTCTTGGCTGTCTGGTCAAGGCCTCCACCTAAAGAAAGACCAGGAGATGTTTCAGAACTAAAAAACATAATTATAGCAAGTTAACAGTAATGATAAATAACTGACTTAATTTCATTATGATTTGACTTGTCCCTGCATTTTTCTAGCTTTTGCACAATAGGACTGAGGAGAAAAGAGCCTTGTTCTCACCACTCCGATGAGGTCTCCTCTGCCGTATTCCCCAATTAGCTCTTTCTTGCCATTCGCCTTGCGGATGACTGAACGCAGACGTCCATTCAGAACAATGTAGGTGCAGTCTGACTGATCGTCCTGTCTGTGGATGTGAAGAGAAAGAAACAAATACAAATAAACTATAAATGAGTACAAGTACATGAACAAGGATGTGGTGTTAACACAGGGTAATGAATGACTACAGTTTGCAAAAAGAAGCTAAATATTTGTTTGTATGTTTATTCAAGAAAAAGCTGAAGTAGAATACCTGTAGAGGGCTCTACCAGCCTCAACAGCCATCCAGTCGATAGCAAAGTCCATCTGCCTGACAAAAGGGGACATGCGGATGGCCACCGTGTGTGCAGCACTCAGTACCACACTGGGCTGCTCCCTCATGATCCTGCAGGGGGCAGCATACAGCACAGAAACAGGCACAGGCTTGAGAAATACTGGCTATACATCATTTATATTGTTTGTAAGTGGATGTTTTATAGCAATACTGAATGGTTCCAGCAATTATGGAAGAACAGTAAGTCTGAATAGAACGCTTCAATTTGAAATTCAAACTTCAGAGACTGTGTAATTGCATTGTAGAACATATAATGAGACATTGTTTCTCCGTTAATAAGAGCACATACATAATGTTAGACTCCACTGTATGCCTGCTGAAAGAGGACTGAAAAACTTTTATAAATACTCGTCACACTCGTGTTTGTCCACATTAAAGATGATAGACTCACTCGTAGAAATTCGACTTTGAGATCTTGAGGTAAGTACAGTCTCGGATGGCCTTGATGGTGAAGATGAGGGGCTCTCCAGTGAGTACTGCGAGCTGACCCACCATCTCCCCTTGGTGGGTCACAAACAAGCAGACGGCCTCCTGCTTGTTAATCATCCGCTGGTAGACATGCAGACAACCAGACAGGACAAAGTGCAGACTCACGTCCTAAAGAAGTGAAAGGAGGAAGACAGAGAAAATAGAAACAAGCGATGATAAAAATAACTTTGCTCTATTTGACACATTCAAATTGTTGTTGCAGTGACACAGCTACTGTATTTACTATATTTGATTACTGTACTTGATACTACTACACTATACTGCACCAGAAAGGCAAAACACAAATGTATTATTTTCAATGAAAACAGGTCTTACATTTTTCAGTAACTACAAAACGGAGCTAAAAACCAAACCAAAGCACTATAATTGCATTTTGGGCTGTAGAACTCACTGTCGCCACAGATAACTCACCAAAATAGCCCCATGGTGAATTAGGTACGTCTGGATGCAGTCACAACTAAATTTACTTATTGATTGTTCCCTAGCTGTTGTTGATGAACTTACATCTTTGTAATACAGGTATTTATTCCACTTAACTAAAATGAGTAATTAGTAATTAGTTAAATCCAATCATGATAGATAAAAAAACAGACAAAGTCTTGCTAAAGCTAACTAGCTGCGACGAGTTTAGGAGCTGCCATGTCAGCTTTGACTCTACTGGATCTGGTGTGGTTGTTAAACCAAGTTATTATATTGATTTCAATAAATTATGAATAATATGGACAGACACCTACCAAACAGACAAACTGCCTAAAGCTATGAACTAAAAATGAATGACATAAAGTTTATTTTCTTAAACAAGTTAAAATAGACAAGAAAACTGAAATAACCACTTTTATTTGTAGATACCCATCTCTCCATTAAGATAATCCAATGGCAGAGCTTTAAACCCTTGTTTACTAAGCATTACTGCCTCTGTAGTTACTGCCCTCTCCCTCTGTAGGGCAGTATACAGCTAAAGGGAGTGTGTCAAGTACCTGGTCTCCCTGCCTGGCTAAGACAGCTCCAGCTTTCGCATGGTGCAGAGTCACTCTCCCATTTAACAAGGATGGGTCCTGGATTTAGGAAGAAAGACAGACAAAAAGTCAAGCAGTGATGAAAGAGTGAGTCAACATGGAGCAAAAATGTGGATGAAATGTCTTCACACTACTTTCTTCAAGCTGCAGACGATTCTGCAACATTTATTTCATCTATCATGCTTTGATCTAGTTACACCAACATAATGTGTTGAAATATTAGGTGTAGCAATATTTAGGCACATAGAGAGTTTACGACATACTGCATCTAACACATGTATACAACTTTGTACCAGATTTAGTCTTGGGCTGTAATCTGCGTTATAATTTGATCTGCACAGAGAAGCCTTCAGTGTTTATTTTTAGAATTATAGATTTTTTTATGATAAATGCAAAGTGTTACAGTTACTAGCATCCAGTTCTGCTGAACTTGGGATTGTCATGTGTTTTTTAAGCTTTTCTAGCATGCATATTTCCCGTTCCCATTTTTTCTCTTATATGTTACCAAACGTCTCATGTCTCAGCATTTGAGAGACTGTATCTTAACAAGCGAAGCCCTCCCTCCACTCATCTAAAGACTGGGCCCAGCTCCTCTACTGACTGACCCCCTTTTAACATCATAATCTGACAGCAGACGCTCCAGGGTTATTTGCAACAATGTGCTCATCCATGCAAAACAAAATTATTATTTTCTTAATATAGTCCTACAGTATACAGCATGATTGGAAGAACACTGCACTAACAGCATGTTTAGACCCTGCTTTACTTGCAGTAGTTTGAGTGCTTCAGCAGGAAACACATTTGATAACACCATTTTGACATATAACCAAACAAAAAAAACAAACAAACCTCAATCCGCATGAGTTTGAGGATCTCTTTCTGAGCTTCCTCAAACAGAGCAGCACTAGATCGACTGGACACAGGTGTGAAAATATTATCCACTCCTGATTCTTCCTCTGGATACAGATAGATCCCTGAAGGAACCTCATCTACTGTCACCTTCCTCTCCCGCTGGTCCTGGGATATAGACTGTAATGATACACACACAAGAAAATGTTTGATGAGGCTCAATCTAAAAAAAGACTTCCTCATGTTAAAAACAATCTGATTGGTGTCAGACAATATCCTAAACAGTAAGTAGCAGTGTTTTTGACATTCAAAACAATTAACATACAAATATTGTTAGGAAACATGTTCATCTTAGACCACAGGATAACATTATTGATAGATAACCATTTCCAGTAACAATTCATCAAAAGTTGTCAAGAAAAACAAACATTTTCGTAGCTTAAGAGAGACACTTCCTTTTAAATATTTGGGTTACTTTATATACAGGATTACTTGTTATAGTTGTTATTTATGCCTTGTAGTTGCTTTTAGAGATCAGTTAAGTCAACCTTATCTCATTTGTGTCCCAAGAGTCTGCAACGTACTGACCCGAGAAAAAGTAGGAGGAGTGTTGCCATCCTCTGCAGAGACAGATATCCGTCCCCTTTCATATGCCATGTCAAAGTCTGATCGCAGACTTTTCTGTATACCTGCACAGACAAAGTGTAAAAAGTCTTCAGTCTTTAATCCACATTCTGATTTTGCTAGGTGATAAATATAATATATCTTACTCGCGGTTATATACTGGTGATTATCATGTTTGAACAGAACAAATATCTTAATAGTCCAAACAAGACAAAAAGCTAAGTGTAGCATGTTTAAATAATCGTAATCAATCTGTCAACAGCAGTTTTTAACCAAAATAAAATCCATCTAAAAAACAAATATACTGTGTGGATGAAAGGATTAAAAACATATTTTTTCAAGTCAGGCAGGCAATTATCCTATAAGCCTCACACCTGTTTCCCATTTTTTAGAGTAAACAAGAGTAGGAATACAACATTTATTAAAACAGATAACTCAAACCCTTTTTTATTTGACAGTTTACTTACTAGAGAGATTCTGAGAAGTTTTACAGGCTCAAAAGAAATCAATCTCTGTAACTTCCTCCAAGTTTTACATCATGGACCTGTCTTCCTCTATTGTCATAAAGGCATTAGTGAGTAAAAGTGTGCAGCAAGACTGCAATTTGCTCTCACTTCATTCTGTCTTGCCAGGCTTTTCAAGCATGACTTCACTGCTGGCTATCAAGTCTAAACATTAGTGTCTTCATAGCCATAAACCTCTAATGTGCCATTACCTGCACACTGTGCTTCATTTGAAAGAGAACAGTCTTTTCAGGCAGCTACAGTGAGGGTAATAACTGTTCATACATGTCCAAAAGAAGTAAACTTAAGGATTTCAGAGCTTGAAAAAAATGCTTTCAACATGACTGGTATGAACATGCCCACGGACTAGACGGGTATGACGTCAGAAGAGCTGAGTGGGGTGGTTTTAGGACACACACCTTTTTTGGTGCCACTTTGGATAATTCAACAAACCATCTTTCAACTCTAGAACTTTTCCTCAGCAATGTTTCTTTGCAAGTCCTTTCTCAGAGTAGCACATTGTACAGTTAAAACATACCCTGTTTATTAGTTAAACTAAAGAACATTAAGAAAATATGATCTCTCTTAACAGGAGAGAAGTCCCTCACCAGCAATGTCCACAGGCATGGAGATGGTCCTGCTAAGAGTTGGCACTGTTGATCCATCCTTCCCTTGTTCCCCGCCTGTACATGCAATGAACCACAGATGCAGCATTTAACAAGCAACCAAACACAAAACTGGAGGAAAATGGAGAGTCAAAATAGAAACCAATAAATATATAATTCATTTACTCAGAGTGACTTTAGCTGTATTTCACAGACTTTTGGCTGTATTTTCTCCCTACCTGTCACTTCACCCTTAATGGCAGCTTCCCGTTGCTCCTCAGTCACTGTCAGGCTGCCGAAACGCTTGCCATGGCGGATGGGACTGGTGCGAGTGGGGTGGGGAGACGGAGGTGGCAGACGCGTGGGCTGCATTTCCTACAGGACAAGTGCGAGTGGTATAATGTATGTGTTCATTTGTGAGTGTATGTGTGTGTCAAGTGGAAAAAGAAACACAATCATGTAGTGACCCATATCATAATAAAAAACAGTATGTTTACTGGGCAAATGATGCAGAATTCCTGATAAATGCTAAACCACACTGGACTGTCCGGTGTACTGTGTGTTCTGTGTTGTGTGTATGTGTGTGTTGTGTGATGAACTCACATGGCTGAAGAGCTCATTGGTGAGCCCCAGATAGTTGTGCAGGGCGAGGACTGTTACTCTTTGAAGACGAACCATGATAATCTTAACAGATACAACAGGAAGGGAGTCATTTGGCATATCATGTGCAAACTGACAGATGACTTTCTCACCACTTCAGTCTTGTGAGTGCACACATTCATAAAACTGTACAGCAGAGGAAAACAACAGCAGAGCAAAATAAAACCCATAAAATAAGAAAATTACACAAATTAAATAAATCTCACCTGTACTACCCGCACCAGGCTCTCAGGGTACTTCTCAAATATAGAGAGGAAGGCTTCTACAGGTAAACGGAGAACAGTGGAAACCTCTGCAGCCCGTGCTGACACCGTTCTGTAAGGCTTCTGGTGGCCCTGGACACAAAGAATACTTCACAAAATGTTCACATTTTAAGAAACTCTGTTGTGGAAGGTCGCGTCTTCTAGATAATTTTTGTTGTTGTAAAAAATAAAGGTAGGGTCAGATGTGAGGAGTAAGACTGCATATAAGACTGCATCTCATTCAGGAATGTGTACATTATGTGTATGTGTGTACAGCAGAGATGTAACGCCCTTGTCTGTGCAGATTTTTGTGAGTGGAGCAAGAAGTGGGTGTGACCTACTGTGATAACATCCAGGATGCTGAGGAGGCTGTGTACACTGTCTCCTGGGTAAACCTCCTTCACCACACTTTCTTTACCATCCTGGAAGACAGACAGTACAATGTGTATATGAGTGTACACACCAAGCAACTTGTGTTCATACATTTATCTAAGAACTTGAGTAGCTACACTCAGTTTGACCCTGGACTAAAATCTCTGTTAGGATAAAACAACCGCTTGCATACCGCTCCAGTAAGGCACAGTTCTAGTTTTCCATCCTGAACCACATAGATGCTGCTGTCAGGCTGGCCCGGCCTGAAGACATACTCCCCTTGTTGGAATTGCACAAACACCATGTGTTTACACAGCTCCAGGAAGAGGGGCTTCTCAAAGTGACCCAGCACACTGCAGTGAAGAGCAACACAGAGGTTAACACATTTGTACACACATGCAAACCGCTGTGACAGGTGTGAATCCGTCTGCATTTGTATGGGACTCCCTAAAAACGTGTTATTTATTTAACCCGTGGCCACATTATCGGAAAAGACAGTATAATAGTATATTCTTTGTCTTCATACCTGACATAAATCAAATGAACTCATCTCATATTGTATGTGTGCATTATAGTCTAGTTTGCCCAACTGTTCTAGTAGCTTTAGACACACGTATTTAGAGAGGCCTGGGTTTATATATTTACAATTGCAGGGCTTTTTTAAAAACAGTTTTCCAGGCAACCGCTTCACAACAGAACCACACATCTCAAAGACATGCTGTAGTATACGGCCATGTTTGGGCCTTTAAAAGACTAACGCAATTCCACAGACATGACAAAGAAGACCGACCTACCGGACATTTTTGAGCATGTAGAGCACCTCAGAGGGGAGGTGGGAGTTGGCCACATCAAACTCGGTGAGGTCAGCCTCCAGCACTGATGGAGGGGGCTCCTTGGCCTGCAGGGTGGGCACTTCCTTCTTAAAGCGCAGGATCCTGCTCGGCAGAAAGACAGGAGGACAGTGGGGTGAGATGAAGAGATGGTAGAAGAGTGTGAACCACTAACAGGGAACTGGTCATGACAGTAATAAAGGTTTCATTGTTGGTGAGAGTGAGCTTTCTGGTGTACTTTTTGGCAATGTTGAGCATCTTCTGCTTCTTCTTTAAGCGTGGCCGAGAGGAAGAGGACGTACCCACCAGGGAAGAGGTAGACTGTGAGACCTGTTGAGAAACAGAATTCCCATGATATTGCTGTTGTAGTAGAGGAAGGGCATGTGACTCACTGTAAGTCAGAGCATTGATAACTACAACACTGATTTGCTGTTGAAGGATTATCATATTTGGTCAGCCCCATACTCACTTTGCGCATGATCTTTCGCCCGTAGAACATGACTTTGTCCCTCTTGCGAAAGCGGTATTTGGGTGCCTCTTGAGCTTCTAAGTCTGTGAAATATTAGAAATGACAAATTACCATAGAAATACAGACAAGTTCTCAGGGCATTGGTGGGTGAGATAGGGATCTAGCCATTAGCTGTTACTGACTTCGAAGCTGGATCCTCCGCAAGATGAAGAAGATGAGGATGGCGATGAGGACTATGGCGATGCCCGCACCAATCACCATCCCCACCATCTGAAGAGAAGAACAAAAGAACAAAAATAGGAAGAGAGTTGGTCTGTGTACAAGGTCAGAGGTTGCATAATGATACAATGTAATGGCGTATACACGCTGCAGGAATTAAAGTTATTTACTTACATTTTTTAATGTTTTATAAGTACTTAATTATTTCATCTACATTGCATTTTCTAAATGTTATTAAGCAAAACATTTATGCTAGTGTACAAGGACAAAATATCTCACTGAAACTCACCATACTCGTCTGTAGTTCCTCCTCCACAAATGTCTTGATATTATTAAACCCGTCCTGATGCAACAGAGAAATAACAGGCCAATTATAAACACAACAAAATACCAAAACCTGTCCGGGGAGCATGCTAGTGGTTTGGTAGCATACCCGCTGGCTGCTTTTTCCTACAGTACATTGATATTGAAACACTGTGTGAGTCTGGGCCTGGAGGCTTCACTTTCACTGAAGTGTAATGGAATGTGGGAATAAGGGATTTGCCCCAGAGGCAGGAATGTCTGGCTATCAGTGCCAGGGAACTGAGAGGAAAAGGGGATAAAGACGTAACATCTTATCTGACCTTCTCCACACTTCTCATTAGTCTGCACTTCTACTTCTCATTATATTAATAACAATGAGCACTACTCAGATCGGCATTGCTCTGCTCCACATGACTGAGGATTCCAGATGTGAAGTTGTTGGGTTCACAGGCTACAAAGTGACACACTGTAAAGGGCAAACCAGTGCTGGGTGATAGAGTACAGCCCAGGTGAGTGAAGATTTTCTATAAATGTGTCTAAAAAAACTGTAACTGCAGATTACAGTTCTTGTGGTAAAGATATGCTTGTTTTGCTAGATAGATCCAGAGAATGAAGATAACCCTATGAAGGGGCAGAATGGGCCTGAAAATAATAACAGCAAATGTTCACAAAAGAATCCCATCAGGCTCTGAGTGACCTGGAGGCCACAGTCACTGTGGGTCACTCTCAAGATAACCTGTGCTGAATATCAGCACCTGAACTTCGCTAATTCCCAACTTCTCTCACTAAATCACTCTAGTGGTTGGAGCAGTACAGTCTGGCTTTGAATAGGCAACAATATGGTGTCTTGCTGCCATGAGGGAATGTAGTTTCTCTACAGACAGACAAGGCCCATATGTTCACAACCCAATATAATATAAATGGATAGAGCTGGACTGGGTGAGGCAGAGGAAGACAAAAAGCAAATTATAGCTTGGTTTTTTGAAAAAAGCTAAGGGCATATATACATTGTCTTGGTTAAAAACGAGCAGCTAACCAGAGGATAGATAGAAAGCAGAGCAGCTCTTCTTTTTGGCTTGATTAAAGAGACTTTTACCACTTTAGTTCAGTAACATCAAACTTACTTACTTAACATCAAAAAGACTGCTCGTACAGGGAGTGGAAAGATCCTGTGGCCAAGATAAGCTTGTTTGTTTTATCGTGTGTGTGTGTGTGTGTGTGTGTGTGTGTGTGTGTGTGTGTGTGTGTGTGTGTGTGTGTGTTTGGTTAGCTAGCCATCAGATACAATATTGTAGGAGCAAGAGTAATACGTTTTAGTGTTCTGGCTGACAGCCAATGAGACTACATGTCTGTTATCAGTGGTTATTGATTAGTGTGTGAGGAGCTAAGGGTTATTTGGCAGTAAAAGGCCTTAGCTGGACACTGGGGATATTGACAGCGGGGCTGACAGAGGGGTGAGTGCATAGGCATCATGGTTTAAGCGTGTAAAATTTACACATGTGTCGAGTTTACTTGAAAAGTGTACAGCATGTACAATGCCAGTAGGAGTGTGGTAAACAATGTCCCACATGTTGCTATAAATATGAGGACACTGTCACATGTCCTCACATGACAGAGGAAAAGATAGTTAAGACATGTCAGAAAAACATTTAATACGGTGCATCTCAACCTTTAAGTTATTTATATTTATTGAAGTTCCTTCTCAGAATCCTTACTCAGAGAAAGTCTTTCTCGTGTAAAGATCTGTTACTTAAAGCGAGCCTGACAGGTCTGGACAATGTACTAGGGTTTTGGGTTGAGTTCAAGACACTCTGTTGTGTACAGCTTTGGGCCAAGGTCTGGATTTGGTTAAGTTATTTTCAAAGTAAGAGAAGAAGTGTTTGGCTGGGAAAAAAAAGAGAGCACTGCATTAACCTGGCAAGCTAACAGGAATGGAGACAAATAATGCAAAACCTTTATTTCAAAGGGAAGCTCAAAATCCCCAAATGACTTGAGGAAGGTTGCTTCATTATGGGAATGTTATGACCTGTGATTGTGGCCGTTTAAACTGTCAGTTCAGCTGGGAAAGACCAGACACATTCATGTGACCAATGTTGGGACAAGGTAATGTTGAGTTTGATAATAGTAAGACAGATGATTTGCTATTATGAGCTGTTTACTGCACTGCTAGTTGGCTGCACTGTGTGCAGTGTAATTGCCACTAAACATGTAATCTACTGTATTTTCTCATTAGCTAATATAAGACACCAGTGCAGAGTTTTATGCTGGTGTAGGGCCGCTATGGCTGTTCAGAGATTACCTGTCTTATTTGTGACAGTCTTTCTGTGTGTCTGAAGTCTAACACTCATTTCTCTTAGCCCTCTTACCCTCTACTGAACACTTCTGATGGCACACCCATGTTGCAGGGCTGCATTTACTGTACTTGCTTTATTGCTTTACTCCAGGTGCCTTATCATTATGCAAATAAATACAGTGAACCAACCTCCGGGGGGTCTCTTTGGACCTCTTGTTCCGAGGTACTCTGTCCCATTGTAACACTGTTTCTTCATAGGGATGGTCCATCAACGGCCACTGGAAAAAAAGACAGACATGCATACTCAACAGGCCTTTATAATGGAAGTATACCGTTGCATTTGGAAAAGCACAGATGTTAATACAAAAATCAAAAGGGGAAAACATGACCATTTTGATTCATGCAGAAACACGTATGGAAATTAAAAAATTTTCCCTGACTTTTCCGCTGCCTCCATGGAAAGATGGCACCTTACTTGTACGAACTTGACATCATCAAACTCCACTCAGACCTCAAGATTCAGCAGAGTTCCTCAGCACAGCTTTTACTCTTATTAACAAAATGTCTTGTTTTTACTAAGGACATACGTGCACACAAACAGACACTAAATAGCTATGAAGCTGTTAGCACACAGCCATGCCTCAGGGCAGAGGGTTTAAACGTTCCTGCTAACAGTCTGGTTGTAAGAGCCGTACTTAATCTCTCCTTAAAATTGCTTTAGCTGACAACGAGAATCAAGCAAAGGACCAAATGAATTCATCCTACACGAGGACACTGGGCCAGGCTTTGTCTCTCTCTTTCTCTCTTACACACACACACACACACACACACACACACACACACAAACACAGCAGGCTATCTAAATAACAGATAAAAACATGTCCAGATGGTAATACCCCCTTCCCCTCTTATTATCCATCCATCCCTCTCCATTCAACTCTGACTAATGACATGATCTTACCATCCCAATTAATTGGTACCACTTCTTTTGGGGATTTAGAGAGAAGATTTAAGGCAACATAATAATACATCGTTTTTTCTATTGAATCCTGTTGAACTTCTTCCTTTTCATTTTGTGAGCATGAAAATTTCTATGCGTTTATTTTATTATGTGTGAATAATTGCAGTAGTGATGGACAGGTTTTCACCTGCATACAACTGTAGAGAACCTAGATGTTTAGTTTTGGAAGGACCAAAACTACCTTTTGCTTTGTTTAATACACTGTACAGCCAATTTTCATTCCCTTTCCTCATCCAAACACTGAAAGAACAACAGGCATCTACATACTGCAATATTTTACCCCGGTTGCCCCTTCTTACAGTCATATTACCATGCATGTTTACTGGGAGTAGTCCAATATAACTCTGATGCTGGTCACTGAGTTACTGCACTGGAGCAATAATTCCTAAAGTTCATCCAGGCTAGCTACATACCAGCTCCCTGCCCACATCTGCCAGTACAGACTGATTCAGCTGACACAGGCGTATGGGCTATGGCTGGGACAACAAGCTTCATTCAATGTCTATGGACAAATAAACAGCTATGCTAGCTTAGCTTGCAGAGGCTCACTGATTACCCACTCCTACTCTGACAACTCCAGCAGAAAGTGAGGCTGGAGGGAAAACAAGCTGGCTAACAACACAGACTCTATGTTTGCTGAGGGCATGCAAAGTAGGCTACACCACTTGCATGAGGAAGCCTATAAACAAGCATGGCTCATTTAGCCTACACTTCAAGACCAGAAGAAAAAAAAGACATTATCACAGCTATAAAATGAGACTACATATAGGCCCCTTGTTCTGTGTCCAAAGTATTCGTCTAAAAGATTTGAATGGATGTGAATATTGATAGATGAAGAGCAAAAAACAATTTGGTCTGACGATACATTGTGATGCACTGATTTATAATTACTCTTCTCTAGCTGAAAACTAATTTTTTAAAATCATAATCTGAGGACGGCCTGCAACTAATAATACAGACTATTAGTTGACTGACAGAAAAATAATTGTCTTTTTTACTTTTTTGTCAAACTGTGACAAAAAAAAAGATTTAGTTCCAGCTTCTTTAATAATGGGCAAATTAAAAATAATTAGTTGCAGCACGACAACTAATGGTTAACTGTTTATTCTATAAAAGATCTCTGATAAATTACTTAAACAGTTTATGAATTATCAGAATAGTTTTCATGTATTGTCTGATCAACTTATCAATTAATACACCTCTTACACAGCAGCCATTTCTACGTTAAATAGGAAGGTAATCACAGGCGTTGTCAATGATAGTGCTTAGGGCTCTGTTCCATTTAGTGTAGCAGAGCCTTTCCAGTGAGCCAACACGTACAATGGCAGCACCCTGACTGAACTGAATGGAACGGAGCCGTTATTAGTATCACTGGTAACACCTGTGTTAACTCTACTATGTCATGTAAAAATAGCTCAGCGCTTAACTGAGATGTGGTTATTGACAACAATTACTATACTTTATACTGATATCATATGCTATGATTTGCATATCTGCAGATGACACCGGCAATGTCCCCATATTCTCTGGTCTATGTATGAAGCAACAACACAGGCTGGCATCAGCTGCATCTGTTGTCTGATGTATCTCTGGCTTAACATTAGTGGCTCAGAGAGGGTGGCCGAACTGCTGCATTGATGAAATTCAATCAGTGAAAGGTTGAGGATGGAGTGTCATGTTACATGAAGCAAGTAAGTCACAAACAAACCACAGAACAGGATTCTGGTGCGAGGGACACACAGTTTCTAAGCAATAATCTCTGAATCTTCAGCATTAAATGTTGACTATTCTGCGTGCAGCATCTATTTATAACATTAAAAACTAAATTTAATCCTCCAATTTTTTTTTTTTTTTATTCACATGTTATAAGAGAGACAGAAACAGGATCTGTTTGAAATATGAGAATATTTCATAATGTTACATGTAAATGATTTAGAGTTAGTTAATGGAAATGTATGTTTGACACCCAAGAGTGGTAAATCAACACCAGCCAAATGTTAGCAAATTTTGGCTGCAGTTGGATCATTATTTATTGTTTTTTGGCAGATAGCCAGTCATAATTTGCAAGTTCTCTTCTATTCTGAAAATTCCCCGTTGTAAAATTAAGCTTTGCTCGTGGATTTTAACAGATACTGTTGTCCCCAGTGCTGTAAAAGATTTCTTACTCTGTCTCTATTGCAGCATCCTTTGTAACAGAACTTACATCATACGAGTTAAGAAAGTTTTCCTAAACCTGTTGCTACACATGACACTTTGCTTCACATTGCCTCTATTTGTCTCGACATTGGCTCGTGTGGGGTAATAACACTGTAAGACAAGCACAGGCCTGATCTGCCCTGGGGATGAGACAGTAGCCCATCTCTAGCCTCTTACCAGTGCCTCCCTCCACACAGGCCTACTCCCATTGTTCTCTGTGTACAATGAAGCTACTGTTGACTCCACTGTCCAGGGGCAGACCTGGGCCAAACTAACACAACCATGTCTGTTTTCACCTAACACAATACACAGTGTAGGAAATGAGATTCACAATAACAAGGCCTTACGATGGTTTTGAACCCGTCATTTAGAGGATGTATAGATGGGAAACAACAACAACAAAATGCAATGGCTCTGCACTACATCCATATTTTAATTATTTATCAGTGGAAGAAGACAACAACAACAGAGAGACATGTCTTTGGTTGAATGTGCTACTCACTGACACCAACTAGACACAAGCTGGTCTGTCACCTTTGACCCTAGAAGCAAACTGTTAAATTTCACCTTTATAGAAACATGTCTTAAAGTTTTGAGCAAATGGAAGCTTATAAGTAAATAAATACCATGACATACACCCTTACACAAACGCCAGTACTGACCAAGGTGAACTCAGAGGACGACATCAGCTCATATTTCCCTCAAACCAAAATAGTTTTGCATAATTTGCACCCACAGAGGTGTTGCCTTACTGACCTCTCGTAAATCTCTTGGCAGGATTGTGTAGTTGTGTTGTAAACACACCGAGCCGACGGGAAACCGCTTAACAGAATACTAAAAAGTAGAAGTGCCTTTCAATAAACCTGAAGCTCGGACGAAATGTGGCTGATTCAGACCGGTAGAGGGTGTTTTGACGCAGTGGTGTACCGTTAGCTAGCTAACAGTCACATGAAGCCTCTAGGTGATTGTGGCTAAATAAATAGAGTCAGGCCTTATTGTTTATATCCGGACGAGCATAAAATGAGGGGTTTTCCACTTGGATACACAGTAAGTGTCCGGGTGATATTACTATTGGTCTTAGGCTCAATACGTGAGGTTGAAAACCCTCTTTTCCACCATCCAGGGCAGAGAGGACCTATCCCATCTACAGCGTACTAATCTCCTGTGGCTACCATTGTCCCCGGATAACGTCAGCTTGCTCTCGGTGATAGCGCTTTACTGTGGTCATCACCACGGATGTGGACGTAAATAAATAAACAAAACATCATTAATGTTCAAAAGAAAATGGTTTCTACTGCTTTTTGTTTTTCCATGTTCGACCTCGGGAGGAGCTTTACCGTTATTGACACAGACTTGACCGGATAGCTCCTGTTTTCATCCGCCGGTTTCTCACCAACGCTAACGAAAAACTCTCAGTGAATGACAGGACCGTGAGCTCAAACATATCACACTGAGAGCATGTCATTAAATTATTGATAGGTTATTAAAGAAGACATTTACCTGAGCTGATGGACTCCCGTCAATCGTCACTGACTGTCAAACAACATACAGCGGAAATTAGCTTTCATGAATCCCCTCCTGTTTTACTGCCCCCACAACTCTGGCCAATCAACGACTGAGAAGCTGTAACGCTCGACCAATCAACGACCGAGATGCTTTAACGCTCGACCAATCAGAATGTAAAGCTGGAGCGAAGGGCCGAAGTCCCACCCACTTCTATGTAAATAAACAGTCGGTGTCCAATGATTACTAGGAGACACTACCAGTAGATCCATGATTGGATACTATCAGGAGTGATTGACATACTGCATTAACCTATAAATGCAGATTCAGTTTTGAGCGTTTCAACGGACTTCGACATGGGACACTGTTCAGATAAGTACATATTTTATGCATGACGCACTGTATGCTAATAATCAATATAGGCTTAATCATTGACCACAGGGAATAAAGTGATTGTGTTCTATTTACCAGACCTCTGCGCTCTACAACACCACGGTTGATTTAATGCTTTGGTTATAGATGAAGGAAACTAGACGGATTGAAACATTATGTTTGTCAAAATGTTAGCACACCTATTTTAACCACCAAGCTTACCTTTTAAAGTAAAGCTAGAGTAACATCGCCCCCTCATGGGCACTAACTACAACATCCCAAGCTGCTTTCACTGTATTTGGACCATATTTCAAAACAACTCAGATACACAATTTCTTTTCAGATATTTACCAAATAATGAAATCACCAAACAATTCTTTTTAAAATACATAATCTTTATTGTGAGGCGAGTGTCTAGTCATAGGATTACAGATCCGCAATGGGCTTGTGGGGCCAGTACGGGTATTTGACCTTGTCCAACTTGGTTTCGGGGAAGGTGTTGTTGAGGTCCTCGATGGTCATCTGGTCGAACGGGATCATGTTGGTAAACTTATCCAACTGAGACCAAACACGAATGAACAGAAAGAGAGGGACAGAAAAAACAGCAAGGTTATAAATACACATTTAATTTTGTTTATGGAGGTGTTTTATCAATTAAAGCAACCACTGTCTCACCTCTTTCTGATACTCAGCAGCGCGAACCTTAGATGCCTCGATGTAGGCTGTTGCACTTTTGTCCTGTTAAAGAAAAGTAAAATGATTACATCTGACAACAGCCAATCATATTGCTGCGGTCATGTGAAAAACGTTCATTACATTGGTGGTGTCTCTCTCTTTTTGCTTTGATTTACAATGTCTGTTTTCAGGTTTGGTGAATTTGACTGTTTAACTACTGAATTTGTGCACATTAGAGTTCCCACAGTAATTACATACATTTACATATGATTGCCAACTTTGGTTCAACTGTAATAGTTTTCAAATGATCAACCAATTTTACAGCGGAAACGTAAAGCTGCAATTCAGGCAATACACAGATTTGTTTGGTGTAATGACTTACAGCTTCTGCCTCCTGTAAATTGATGGCACTCGTCTGTGTGTCAACGGGCACCGGGATCTGCAGGGCTTTGAACTGTGTGTAGGAAGAACATTTAGGATTTACCACTCCAACACAAACCAACAAATGCTAAACAAACTACATTATGACTTAGATGTACAATCACCAACTAAACTGATCATTTTTGCAGAGGCACCAAAGCAGTATTTAACCTCTAGTTTTCATCCACAATTATTAACTGGAACTGTCGCCCCTTAAGGTGTTCAGACAAAAAGTAACTTCAAGAGATCATAAAAAGCAACAAGCTAAGATTTGTAAGTCAGATTCTATGGCCTCTACAGACAGCTACAATGTATGTATGCTCCATTGAAATCAATATTAAAGCTGCAATAGGTACATTTTATAAAAATAACTTTTTTTATATATTCCAAAACGTTCACTATATCCTGAGAGAAGATATTCAGTGATAAAAATATGGTTCTTCTGGCTCCTCCTAGCGATCCTAATGGATAAGAGCTACGAAAGATAGATGATTTGTATCTATGTTGTTATGTTATGTGTATGTTTGTTTATGTTTCTCGGCTCTGATTGGTTGTTTTCATACAAGCGCGGTGGATTCTTGTAAGTGCCATTGTGAGCACTAAAAGGAGCCAGATTTTCTTTTCACAGACTATCTGTGTCAAGATATAAAGGAAAGTTTCAGCAACTATGACAAAAAAGTTACTTTTTGTAAAAGTTACCTACTGCAGCTTTAATTTGGATCCTAAAAAGTCTCAGCACAACTGGATGCAGCCATAAAGATGGGAAGGTGGGATTTTTAAACCACATTTCACATAGAGACTGCTTAATGCTGATGCCTTTACAAATAAACTAGTCAGGTAAAGCTCACCTTCTTCTCAAACTCATCCACCAGCCCGGCTTTGGCCACTGCGCTCCTGTAGTAACTCCAGTCAATGGCTGCAGGAGCCTCTGGCAGGGAGGATAGCCTGGTGTAAAGAGAGACAATGTAGTTTAACAGATGTCAATTAAGCAAGCAAATAATCCAATCAGTACAAACATCTAATAAAAAATAAGAAAATATGTTCATGAGTTGATAAAAATTTTAAAAGATGACTAAAGGAAACAATTTAATTTACTGATAATGACCTGATAAGCTACATGAAAGAAACTAAGAATAAAGTAGCAGGTGCACTAATTTACAGTATTTTTCTGCACCTTTTATATTATTTCCAAGCAAACTACAAGTTTATTAAATATTGACTTTAGCTCCTGCACATTGTAAATAAATAGATCCTAATGTACAGATACTCTTTTATGTATTTACATGAGATTGTCCAAAGCTTCTCAGTCAGGTGAGCAGAAGATAATTAAAGGATAACTTTGGTAATTCAACATTAATTTCCCATTCTTTTGTGTCACAGTCCAGTATTAAGTGACAGAGCTGCCGCCGTGAAACTGACTACGATGTAATCCTCAAAAGCAATTGTGCATCACCAAAGTAAGTCCATTAAAACATTAAAAGTGGGTTGTTTTTTTTTCCACTGACAGATTATTATCTATCTGACAACATTACAAAAGGACCTCAGGAAAACAAGGTCCAGCTTTAAGTTTAGTATCCCTGATATATGCCACTATGTCACTGCATGATTCATGCAGTTAACTTTGCAGCAGAGTTCTCCAAAAGTCCCCTCAGATTGATTCGGTTTGCTTATTAGCAAGAAAACACATCCAACACCAAGCAGCACTTACTTCAATAATCTATTAATATTCAGTTGTATTGTTAGACAGTGCTCGGACCGTGTTATAGCATGATAGAAGTCCCGCTCTTTCAGACTGAAGTTGACTTTCTATACCCTGTTGTTGGTCTCAAACTCACTTGGCAGCGATGGTATCACTGCGAGTCTTTAGAGCGTTGAACATGCTCTTCTGGTTGGGAGGAACCCGCTCAGCAAACGCCACCCAGTCAATGGCCTTCAGGGCCATACGTCTGCCTGCCATCCTGACGGTCTGAAAGGTCAAAAGAAATCTTGTTTAGTCCAGACAAACCTTCAACAAAAAACATCACGATGATCCCGACTACATGTGGCTGGAAAATAAAATGTGTGCCCATACATATGTTCTCAGGTTATATATATATATAAATATATATATATAATATGTGTGTGTGTTTATATACACCTAGCTAAAACTAATGGAGTCTGGTACAACCAACAGCCCGGTAATAAATCCTACCATGGTCATGGTGAATTTGGATGCTGTAGTTGCTGATGAATTATACCGAGTTATACATTAATGTAATTTAATATTTGATCTACTCCACTTATATCAGTGAGAGTAGACAAAATATTTGAAACACATATACAGCTTCCAAAAAGTGCATAAAACATTGTGACCTTCATGAAGGTAGGAGTCACTGCAGGACTTTGTGTTAGACTACATTGATTTTAACTGGGTGTATTTAATGAACTGGAAAGTGAGTGTATGTGGCTGGATTACACGATCCTTCAACATTTTAATGACAGTAATGCATGTATGGCAGATCTAACCAGGACGCTGTACCTTTGTATTGACACCACGTTATTTATACAAGCTGCTGACAAAATGGATATATCTAACCTGAACAAAATGTACTTCATACATGTAGCAGTGTTGTAGCCTCGACACAGACAAAAACATATTCACCACCAACTGAATGCGCACTGCGATGATTTTAATGACTGACTCACAATGAGACACATATAAATGTGTGTTAGCCCCATTGACAGTATATATATATAAATATATAAATAAATAAATAAAGGTTAAACCCGCTGACTAACACCGTTAACGCAGGTAGAAATGAAGACATTAGTGTAACGTTACTGTAAATATCAGTAACAATAAACACCGTCCAACTGCATGTGACACATGCTACAGTATGTTTGTACTAACTCCTGTAGAAGACAGTAAACACATTAAAGACAGAAGCAATCAATGACACCGGGCCCTTGACATGTTCAACTCACGTTAGCAAGATTAGCTAACGGTAGCTAGCTCTGTTAGCTTGCTAGCCAAGGTCAGAGAAATAACACCGGGATTTCAACTAAAACACCGACTGAACCTCAACTTTACTTTTCAATCTCATGCACAATGATGCACATGTACTCTGCATAAATGGTCACTCAGGTATATTTCCATTAGATGTTCTTGCAGCCATGAACTCGTCCTCTTACTCACCTCGCTGTACACAGTGAAGTCTGCGACTGAGCGGAACAGCGGAAGGGCTTCTTCTTCTTCGTCAGCACCAGCAGCAGCAAACAGCGAGTCCGCCAGCGCCCTCTGCTGGACGGAGAGAGTACGGCCACTCGTTCATAGAGGAGGCTTCATTTGCACTGACATACCGTGTATCTGCACTTATATCTGTATATCTGCGCTTTCATGGGACAAATATAAATATACCTCACAATAAAGTCGTGTCTCTGTGATTTTATTCAGCTTAAAAGGCGACACAGGATCCCTTTTGTTGGAGAGGTACGATGGCAAGAACAAAAGAGAATGAAAATAGGAACATGATTAATTATAGAATGATCTTTTTTATAATATAACCCGTGTTAAACATAGGCTTATATAGGTCTACTTACCTGCTGGAAGGCTACAGGGTGACAGTGTAATAGAGCAATGTGTTACAAGTGCGCTACCAAAC